AGCTTCCGCGCTTCGCGCAGGAGGGGAGGGGGGCTGAATTTAGACAAGGATTAGGAGTCGAGAACAGTACAACGAATCGTCTTCTTTCTCTAATAATTTAATAAATCGTAAAATTTTCCGCGCTTTGCGCGGGAGGGAAAAACTAAATTCAAACGAGAATTATTTTCGAGAAAGGTACAATGAATCGTCTTCTTCCTTTAATAGTTTAATAAAACGTCAAAGCTTCCGCGCTTCGCGCAGGAGGGGGAGGGGGGGGGGGGGATTGAATTTAAACAAGGATTAAGAGTCGAGAACTGTACAACGAATCGTCTTCTTTCTCTAATAATTTAATAAGTCGTAAAATTTTCCGCGCTTCGCGCGGGAGGGAAAAACTAAATTCAAACGAGAATTATTTTCGAGAAAGGTACAATGAATCGTCTTCTTCCTTTAATAGTTTAATAAAACGTCAAAGCTTCCGCGCTTCGCGCAGGAGGGGGAGGGGGGATTGAATTTAAACAAGGATTAAGAGTCGAGAACTGTACAACGAATCGTCTTCTTTCTCTAATAATTGGATAAGTCGTAAAATTTTCCGCGCTTCGCGCGGGAGGGGAAAAACTTAATTCAGACGAAAATTATTTTCGAGAACGGTACAACGAATCGTCTTCTTTCTCTAATAATATAATGAAACGTCAAAGCCTGGGAGGGGGAACTCGCCCCCCCCCCCCGCATTACGTCGTTGGTCACCATAACGTACCAATATTTGGCTCGCATAATTTCAAATTTGGGCCCCCCCCCCTAAGAAATCCTGGATCCGCGCCTGTGCATATGTGTGTGTGGGTGTGTGTGTGTGTGTGTGTTAGGAGGGGGGGGGGGGTTCGTTATTATGGACGTCACAAAATGTGATGTTCAGGTAAGTTTTAATTCACTTGGGTGATGGAGTGAGAAGAGGGCACGGGATCCATGTACCTCCCTTGAATAAAGCCCGATGGACATGCGAAATGATTATAGAAATTAAATTAACAACTGCCATCTTAAGATAAAATGATTAACTTGACCAATGTAAGGTGATATCCCCTTGAATACTTGGTTATCATTTTTGCATCCAGTTCAATACAGAAGCCGCCTATTAATTTTTCTTCCAAATATGCCTTCTTAGCAACATTCCTCTTTCTATGGAAGAGCATTTCATACAGTTTGACACAAATAGTGTATTCTTTACTCAAATACGAATCTCCAATTTCTCCCTTGCTCCTCCTCTTCAAACAAGGCCTCGGTACGCCACTGCGTGGGCATCGATTTGAGAGGTGGTTCTGTCAATCTCATCAGCTTCAGACCTGTTCTCATATCGCGCTATTTTCTCTTAATTGAACACAATTATTTTCATGATTGAGTCACTGAAAGCACTCACAAAATAACGCACAACTTTGACCAGATCGAATTGTTTCTACAAAGAGACAGCTTAGAAAATTTGCAGTGCCGCAGTTTGGGCGTCATCGCGAAAAAAAATGCATTATTCTTCTTGTAAGGAATGCCCCTCGGAATATTACTTCTATTTTTAAATTATCTGGTCTACGTCACAAGGGATATCTAAGAAACAAAACATGGCTCATCTTACAATGGGAAGGATGTCTTAGAATGAGATGGAGAGGAAGGGAGAGACAGAGACACAGAGCAAAAGGAGACAGAGAGCAAGATAAGGGGGAGATATAAGGGAGAGAGAGAGAGAGAGAGGGGGGAGGAAGAGAGAGAGAGAGAGAGAGAGGAATAGAGATAGAGAGAGAGAGACACACACAGACAGAGAGAGAAATAGAGAGAGAGAGAGAGAGAGAGAGAGAGAGAGACAGACAGAGATGCATATAGAAATGTGTGGTTGATCTTTCCAAGGTGGAGATAAAATTAGAATATAATTTAAATAATTTGTGTAGTTACCATATAAAAGAGAAAGAAAAGCATTTACTGTATTATCGTACTAAATGTACTATAGACCATTTCTAATAACGCTATAACGATTTAGATCGTTCCAAAGTTTAAACTTTAATGTTTCTAAAACACGTAATTGAATGTTACGTTGCTTCTTTAAAAAAAAAAATCTTTCATTACATCTGAGTAAAAATAAAATAAAACGAAGTGTGCCTAGCTAGAAAGATTCACAAGGGCACGTATTGTCTTTCGCTTGATTCTTCTATTACCATTCTGAGTGACTCAATCGAAAAAGAAGTATAAGGCCGAATAGATTCATTACACCAATCCATGGGCTTCTCATCCTATTCAGGTCATTATGTTTCAATGTTCCTAGGCATCATTACGAAGCAACTCAGGAACATTTATGTTTCCTTGAATTAATGTGTCTTGTGCTCCACTTTTTTCCATCAGTGCCCACTTTATTTCGTTAGTTTAAAGGAGCACTAATTTATTGGTCGATGCCAAATTGGTATTCGCTTTGGCAGTAAGTACCGTTCCTGGTCTTTGCTTCTGAATTATTTGACTCTTCCGCTTGATATACTTTGGGAACATTCCCCACATAAGCTAGTCGGGTGCTTCATGTTATCCATATCTTACATGAGCGTTATTTCATCTCATCTTTGCGCCCTCATTCTCTCCTCTCCATCAGCCATCTTCGATTTTTACAGTAATTGCCATCTTGCGATATTCGATCAAAGACTGTTAGCAATATATTGGTCCACCTGCCTCGCTTTAAAATGAGCTTGGCTATGTTTCTTATCATTGTCATCACAGTGATGTTAGCACGCCATGTTCGGTATACCGTGAACATCTAACGACAGCATGTACATCCCCCAGCAGGAGACTGCTAATGGCATCAGTCATGTCTAACCCCATGAAAGAATATCAAACTGTTCTGCTAAACGATTCTTACCGAGTTAAACAAACATACAACGGTTAGTTCAAGATGGCGCATGTGTTAATTAGTCTAGCTCTGCATGAAGACCACCATACTAATTATAAAACAGCAGTTAGGAAAGGCGTTCAATCGTAAGGGAGAAGCCGAGAAGGCATAACTTTTCGATACAATCACCTTGATCATGTTGATGAATGTAGAAGCGACTTTCACTTGCTAAATGATAACCAAATGTTACAGCTATACTAGCGATAAATGGACATGTTCTCTGTCATAATTACCCTCATTAATACATGTAGCAGATTCAGCTAACGAAGAAAATCAGCACATTTCATCATGTTAAATCATATCTTTAGAAGACCATGTGCTAATTAGTCTAGGACTGAGTCAATTAATTGTTGATCATTTAAAATACTAGTATTTATAAAGACAGACCTTCGTATTTGCAACAGCTTTGCAGCTAACAACTTTAGAAATCAAACATCACATTTTAGATGACCACAAATTATTACTGTTTAATCTACTCGTGTCTGTCCTCATATTGACCTGCAATTTGATCTCTTTTTATTTTGAAGATATTAAAACAATAAAAACCACAACAAGAGTACCAACAACAAGGCTAATGACTTCTTTCATCATAGGCCCCATTAGAAAATATGTTTTGCTAAATGTTTATTGCTGTGTTAAACATGTTAAATAAATTTAACCCGTAGACAGCTAATGTGTTATACTGTACCACGTCTTGTTTTGCATGAAGTGGTCTCGGGTGATTTTTAAATTGATGTAAAACTGTAAGACAGCAGTGGAGAGGCCTCATGTATTAATGTTATTGATGCATCATTTTATAATCCTGAATTCAGCTCATCCTGTTTTGCAAGAACAATTCCCGTAATATGTGAGAAGATTTGTTTTCCATATTAAGGAAATAGTCAAGACAGTATTCGACCGTGGCGACAAGGCAACAACTCATATTTTTGCAGAATTGAAATAACTGTCGTAACGATTATCACGTTACCAAATGATGTACAATTAGGAATCTGCTTATCATATCCTAGCGATTTAGTGGGAAATGATTAGCAAGAAGGATGTAGAAATGAGCAAATTTCTTCAATGTCCATTTTTTATATCAAATAATTCGAAGAATACACCGACGCATTTGGAATTCCACTACTTCCCTTCCACGAAAAACCAACGTTTGGTTCGTCTTGATTCGTTTGTTGGTAGTGGTTCATCACTTTATTGATACTTTAGCAATAAAGAAACAGAGACATGACAAATACCTAGCAATGAAAGGGCCGGGAAAAGGGGAACATATAATGAGGAAGGCCCGGGACTTGAAATACTTTTAAAAATCAGCATGGTAGTTATACAAATTAGGTTAACCGCGTAATGTGATGAATGTCATAAAATATTGAGAAATAATGAAATATAGTAAGTATTAATTTCTTCAATCAAAAAGCGGGGTAATCCAGATAAATCGGAATTCATAGCATAAACCTGTAGACGTAGTATTTAGACCACCCCACCAACCATATAGGATATTAAGTTACAGGGACCATAAACAATTTACAAAAAGAAGAAGATTGAATTAAAATTTCCGAAATAATAATTTAGATGATAAAATTTACCTTTTCCCTTCAGCATCGTCAGTTCTGAATACTCCGAATTGATAGGATAATGCAGTTTACAACATCATACTTTATATTCATCAGTGTGTGAACAAATCTAGACAGTAACTAAGGGGTTTAACAGATGCGCGATCATCTGCTTGTGATGCAATCATGACATTATGACGTCATGAGAAACTGAAGCGTACGCGTATGTTCATTCAAATAATAGGTTAAAATTGAAATTACAATTGAATACGTATGAGTATTTTTTTCTCTATGGAGAGAAATCGACCAAAAAGCAAAATTCTAATTATCGTAAAAGGAAAACTTTTCAGAAAGAAAATACATACAAAAGACACAAAAAAGAAAAGAAAAAGTTTTGACAAGAAAATTAAACAAGAATATAATAATAATAATAATAGCTCGTTCTTATATAGCGCTGAAATAAACAAAAGTATGTGAAAGCTCCCAAATAATCTTCCATCCTAAATTTGAAGCATTTTGAAAACGGAATATTACAAATAAATGTTTAATTCTTAATCTCTCATTTTTAGGTGATGAGAGTCTGGAGGACGGTTACAACCAGGACACCAAGATGAGCTTTGTTGTGAATGCCATCTACACCGTGGCCTACGGATTACATAATCTTCAGCAGCGGATATGCGGGGTAGGAACGGTTGGTCTATGCCCAGAGATGCAGCCCATAGATGGTCGGGAGTTACTCGAAGCTCTCTTTAATGTTTCCTACTTTAGCATGTCTGGCGATCATATCAAGTTTGACCAAAATGGAGACCCACCGGGAAAGTAAGCAATACCATTTTATTTTTCTTGAATAATAACAATATATTAATAATGATAATTATGATATAAATTCATACCGCACATACCTAATGTTCTCAAAGCGCTTCTATTACCCCAGCCCTGCTAGGCTACCATTTTCGGTGGTCACAGCTTTAAGAATGTCCGTCATATCGGTAACCGTGTGGAGGGTGTAGAGTGGCAAATGTAGATTGATGCCTTGCCAAAGGACATTAGTGACGCGGTGGGACTCGAACCGCGAAACATGTGGTCGACAGTCCTACGATGTATCCACTAGACCACGACAATAATCGAAAGTATCCCTGTATGTAATTATATGACGTTTACTTCTTTCGGGAGCACTTCGTTTTAGAGTGTTAATTTTAATTTTAAAAGTGTAATTCATTCTCAAAAGGGTAATTCAAACCACTATTAGAATACATTCCATTGTAATCTGAAGTGAATTAAAATCCAAAATGAAGTGATCTCTATGATATAACTCCTAAATGATTGGTTTTTCACTTATCTACATTCATAATGGAATTCACCGCTTGGAACATTTTTATAACACTTGTTAAATTTAATATTGTAAAAAATAACCGTTTTTATCTTTATATGTTTAATGTTACGAGTGTGTATGTATTAAAAACCTAAAGATAGGAGAACTATTTCATTTCAATTTTTAATGCAAAAAATATTTTTTTCTACAAAAATTAATATGCACAAATATGTGTGTATGTTTGTTTGCCTTTAAAAGGGTCATTTTACGTTTACAAAAGAATTCTCAAATGGTAGGTCTTTCAAAGGTAACGCTTACATGATAGGCAATTAGGCATAGATGATTCAATTAAAGTCCCCGAGTACAAATTGATCACCATTGTAGTTCAATGACCGATTTCATTAGGCCCACGTGCTCATTAAATCCGTGTTACTGTTATTATAAGAAAGTGGTTCAATTAACACGTCATAAATTGCATGAGAGTATAACTACATGATCTTCATATAATATGAAATCTAATCAAAATGCAATCAAGCTGAGTAAGCTTGATATCTGTTAAAGTACACATGATATCCAGGGGTTATTGTACCCAGTGTTAAAATTACAGTGACCCTGAAGTGTCGAAAGTCGTGTTGAATTTTAGCTGGCTAATGTTTGGGCTATATTGATTAAAATAGATATGAAGAATGACGTCTTAAATTGTTGTTACATGGAGAAAGTAGAGAGGCGCACTGACCAGGCGCTGAGGAACGGTTTCAGTTGGTTTAATGGTGCCTAAAGTTGGCAACGTTGTGTTCCTGGGCGTCAGTCCTTAAAAACAAAGGTCTATCCTCATCCCTTTGAACTCCCTCTGTTCATCGCGTCCCATCACGTTATTTATGAACCATGTTGACATGGCATGACAAATCTTCAAACATTACTTTTTGTGTATGTATCCATGCAGGTATGACATCTACAACTTCCAGCGATCATCTGACGGCAGATCCTTTGATTACGTCACAGTAGGAGCTTGGGAGGATGGTTTGCTGTCGATGAATGATTCTATTATGATGTGGAATAATGGATCAGACTTCATCACTAGGTCCTTCTGCAGTGAACCCTGCCCGCCTCATCATGCTAAGGTAGGAATACACAGTGAAACCTGTCTATAAAGACCACCCAAGGGAGACAAGACAAGGGGTCTTTATAGGCAGTTGGTCTTTATGTACAGGTTCCTTTAGTACAATGTTTCAATGAGAAACCATTGGGAAACAACAAACGTGGTCTTTGCAGACAGGTGGTCACTATTAAAGCAGGTTTGACTGTAATTTTCTTTGAGAGTTGACTAAGATGTTACCCAAGGCCATGTTTGCAGTGAATCTTGTGTCTATATCAGTGCCGTGGCGAAGTGTGTATTTAGTTTTAGCTAGCTATTTGGTTGATGGGGCATAAGGACAGAGCGCCGGTTTATGCCAGGGAGCAGGGCCACCGAGTAAGGGTTGGGGTATGAGGAGGAACGCACCCTGTTTCTACGTTGCCCTCTCCTCTATTCCTTTTTTTCTTCCACTTTTCTCATGTCATCCCCCCCCCCCCCACCACCACCATTCAAGATTCAAGATAATTTTTGAAAGTCAGTTTCTATTGTCCAAATATGGAAAAGAGACTGACTTACAATGATGTTTCATGCGATTTAAATGTAAAAAATAATGGTTCGCCTGCGTATGATTATGTACAAAACAGAAGATCCAGTGAAACTATTCATAGCCATGACATTTCACAAACTGCAGTCAGGTGTACCTCATTTTAACCTCCTTTTTAGTTTGACTGCGATTGGGTATTCAGAAGATGTAATTATAGCAGAGACAAGCAATCTTTGGCCCAAAGCATTTTCTCAGGAACTTCCCCTCGGGTAATATTAAGTGTAAAAATAGAAATTATCCAAACGTGAATGTGGCCTTCAACGTCTACTAAAGGGCATAACAACCTCTAAGCAACCAAAGAAGTCTGCAAGTGGATAATCTTTGTCTGTTTCTTGTCTTCAATTCTTCATCCCACACAAAAACGATGATTGTAATGATGCCTTCGTGGATGTAGGACTGTAATAACAAGCCTATGTAATACTTATACATTTGATAAGAAAACAAATGTTGACCATAATCATCTTACTCCGTTAGCGTGATGATATAATGGATGCGATTACTAGTTTAATCGAGCAAACATTGCTCCACCCCCTCCCCTAAGAAAAGAACGATTATTCACCTCCAGTGGCGTATCCATCATAGGTTAAACCGCCCCTTCTCATTTGGACGCCCACAAAAACAAATAGCACTTGGCTGTCGGTGTTTATTGGGTTTTATATTGTATTGTATATTTGTATTTATTCAGACATTCAGTAAAAAACCAAACATGTCTAGGGCTGCTTCCTCGATAAAAATGATAGTAGTAATCAAATATAACTAGATAGATACCTCATCATTCAAAAAAAGAAAAGTAAAAAAGCGAGATAAGAAACAAAGAAATACATAGGTAAAATAGTTTAGTAGGTAAAAAAGAATAAAAGTGCACACTAAAATTCTCTAGCATGTAAACTTTTAAACTGGTGACAGCAAATAAATTTAACACAAAAATTCTCGGCAGGTCTGCCCATAGATTTCTGGATACGCCTGACACATTGATACAAGATGAAAGCTAAGTACAGCGGGTCACAATGTACGAGAAGGGTTTGATTTCCCGAAACGGCACTAATATCCTTTGGCAAGATATTAACCTGCACTTGCTACTCTCCACCCAGGTGTCAAATGGGTACCCGGTAGGATGCGGCCGTCATTGTTGGTCAAACAGCTTGTGAGTGTCAAGTAACGCCCGGCTGGAATGCTCCCCAGGGAGTGGAGATTGTGCACACAGTGTGTGCGGGAGAGCACTGAATCCAACGACCGGGGTAATTGTAAAGCGCTTAGAGACATTTGTATTAAGCGCTATAAAAAAATTAAATATTATTATTATATTATTATTATTATTTCGTTCATAAGCTGACATTTTCTTCAATAAGCTGACATTTTCTTTAATCCAGTTGTAAAATGAGAATGAGATTAACTTCCAAAGTGCCGCTAATCTTCGCCCTGGGTATACCTCTCCCTCGGCCGCTCTTTAATGAATCGTGTATAAGCTCTCTCTCTCTATCTCTATATTTAGGTCTACTTTCAGTCACTATCCGAGAGAACATCAGGCGCGGATCCAGGGGGGGGGGGCGAGCGGGCCTTGGCCCCCCCCCCCCCCACCGCAAAAAAAAAAAAAAAAAAAAAAAGAGAAGAAAGGAAAAGAAGGGAAAGGGAAAAAGGAGAAAAAGGGAAAGAAAGAAGAGGAAGAAGAAAAGAAAAGGGGGAAGAAGGAGATCGGGGGCCGAAAGGGCCTTGCCTCCCAGGCTGTTTACCCCCCCCCCTCATAAAAAAAAAATAAGAGAGAAGGAAGGAAAGGGAAAGAAAAAAGGAAAAGAGGAGATACTGGCGTACTGATAGAGGGGGGAGGGGGGCTTGGGGGAAATAAAATTCAAACGTGGTTTATTTCTAATTCCACAACGGTGGATTACAAATAATGCTGAAATGACATAATTTCCGAAATTTTTCCTCACTTTTTAGTAAATTATACGTTTGTAAGTGTTTGTTGAAAAATGACAAATTCCTAAATTTACAACCAGGCAAAAAATATGTTTCTTGAGATTCGTACATGTCAGGGCCCGAGGTACGGCGGGGATCGAGAGCCTCGAGCTCCCCCCCCCCACTTTTATTGACAAAGTATATTAAAGAGAAATAAAATAGAATGAGAGCAAGAAAGTGAGAATAGTTAACTGCCAGTGTTATCAAAATAATGAGGCATCAAAATATGCTCATCAGACCGTGATTAAATGCCTAAAACCCTTAAGCTTCAGGGGGCTTTGCCCCCTGGATTCCATCTAGGGCCCTACTGCGGGCCTTAGATGATAATCTGACGGTAAGTTAATGCCTAAAACCCCTGATTTTTGGGGGCTCTGCCCCCTGTACCCCACGCCAAATAGTGACTTGCCAGTGTCACAAAATAATAAGGTATACACAAAAATGTACTCATCTGACCTTTATTAAACGCCTAAAACCCCTGAACTTCCGGGGCCGGCTCCGCCGCCTCGACCCCACCAGGGGTCCTAAAGCGGGCCCCTGAATGCTGATCTGATCGTAATTTATTGCCTTAAACCCCTGAGCTTGCGGGGTCGGACAAGGTATCAAGATGTGTTTATCTGACCGCAGGCGCGTAGCCAGGGGGGGGGGGGGGGGTCCCCCCTCCAATCGGAAGAGGACGTAGGAAGAAAAAGGAGCAGACAAAGAACTTTTTTGAAATTCAGACAAGGATTAAGAGTATAAAGAACGGTACAACGCATCGTTTTCTTTCTCTAATAATAAAACGTCAAAGCCTCGCGCAGGAGGGGAGGGGGGGGGGGGACTGAATTCAGACAAGGATTAAGAGTCGAAAACTGTACAACGAATCGTTTTCTTACTCTAATGATTTAATGAAACGTAAGAGCTTCCGCACTTCGCGCGGGAGGGGGGGGGGGGGGACTGAATTCAGACGAGGATTAAGAGTCGAGAACTGTACAACGAATCGTTTTCTTACTCTAATGATTTAATGAAACGTAAAAGCTTCCGCGCTTTGCGCGGGAAGGGGGGGGGGGAACTGAAATCAGACGAGGATAAAGGGTCGAGAACGGTACAACGAATCGTTTTCTTTCTTTAATAGTTTAACAAAACGCCAAAGCCTCGCGCAGGAGGGGAGGGGGGGGGGGGGGGGGGGACTGAATTCAGACGAGGATTCAGAGGCGAGAACGGTAATACGAATCTTCAATGATTTAATGAAACGTAATAGCTTCTGCGCTTCGCGCGGGATGGAGGGAGAACTAAATTCCGATGAGGTTTATTTTCGAGAACGGTACAATGAATCGTCTTCTTCTCTAACGATTAAATGAAGATTAAAAGCTTCCGCACTTTGCGCGGGAGGGGGGAACCTGAATTCAGACGAGGATTAAGAGTCAAGAACTGTACAACGAATCGTCTTCTTTCTCTAACCTTTTAATGAAACGTAGAAGCTTCCGCGCTTCGCGCAGGAGGGGGAGGGGGATAGGGACTAATTTTAGACAAGGATTAAGAGTCGAGAACTGTACAACGAATCGTTTTCTTACTCTAATGATTTAATGAAACGTAAGAGCTTCCGCACTTCGCGCGGGAGGGGGGGGGGTCTGAATTCAGACGAGGATTAAGAGTTGAGAACGGTACAACAAATCGTCTTCTTTCTCTAATGATTTAATGCAACGTAGAAGCTTCTGCACTTCGCGCAGGAGGGGGAGGGGGGGGGGGGGACTGATTTTAGACAAGGATTAAGAGTCGAGAACTGTACAACGAATCGTTTTCTTTCTCTAATGATTTAATGAAACGTAAAAGCTTCCGCGCTTTGCGCGGGAAGGGGGGAACTGAAATCAGACGAGGATAAAGGGTCGAGAACGGTACAACGAATCGTTTTCTTTCTTTAATAGTTTAACAAAACGCCAAAGCTTCCGCGCTTCGCGCGGGAGGGGGGGGGGGGGGGAACCTAAATTCAGATGAGGATTAAGAGTCAAGAACTGTACAACGAATCGTCTTCTTTCTCTAACGATTTAATGAAACGTAGAAGCTTCCGCGCTTCGCGCAGGAGGGGGAGGGGGATAGGGACTAATTTTAGACAAGGATTAAGAGTCGAAAACTGTACAACAAATCGTTTTCTTACTCCAATGATTTAATGAAACGTAAGAGCTTCCGCACTTCGCGCGGGAGGGGGGGGGGGACTGAATTCAGACGAGGATTAAGAGTCGAGAACTGTACAACGAATCGTTTTCTTACTCTAATGATTTAATGAAACGTAAAAGCTTCCGCGCTTTGCGCGGGAAGGGGGGGAACTGAAATCAGACGAGGATAAAGGGTCGAGAACGATACAACGAATCGTTTTCTTTCTTTAATAGTTTAACAAAACGCCAAAGCCTCGCGCAGGAGGGGAGGGGGGGGGGGACTGAATTCAGACGAGGATTCAGAGGCGAGAACGGTAATACGAATCTTCAATGATTTAATGAAACGTAATAGCTTCTGCG